AGGGTGCTCTTAGAATAATTCCTTTTTAGAAGGAAAATACTCAATTATGATGAAGTTATGCTGCTGTTTGTCAGCATAACCCACGTTCTTTGGTACCTCTGGGCACACAGTGATCATGACTGGAATGCTGTGAGATTTGTTGTCCCACCCCACGGCGGGTGAGCAACAGAAGCGAGCAGAGAGCTCCGGCCAGCCAGCAGCACATTGTGGTAGGTGTCACCTACAGCAGCAAAGCCCATGGGCATTTTGCCCTGGACCAGCACCTAGGCTGAGCTTTCCCACATGACAGCAGCATACAGTAGGCAGCTGAGCTCAGCCTGAAGGCATGTGTTTGACGTGCCTCCCACTCCTCCGACCACCTGGCGCTGCAACCTGATGCCATAATGCGTGACAGCCAGGTGTTGGGTTTGCTGCTTCGGATGTCGGCGTCATTGCCGGGTTTGAGGGATAACAACGGGGGAAAATGACGGGGAAAATGTTAGTGGGAGAGATGGTTGCTGTTTGGAATCAGAATAAGCCTCCTCTTCAAATGCGCAGATGCTAAAGCATAAGGAAAATTTTTGCTCTTCATGCTGTTGTGTATGATGCGTGAGAAGGCCTAATTGGATGCTGCAAAGTGCCCTGAAATAATGCTCAAACTCCCTGATACTATGGCTTGGTTGGGAAGGTAATTGATCCTCTGCTGGGTAAAAAAATTAATAAGGATTTCTGCAGAAAGAGTGCATGAACCATGAACCTTAACTGCAAGCTATTAGCCAAGTTATGAGTAATTATATTTTGGATGGCTACATATTCAAATTATGATGCAACAGATTATACTTAAGTTATATTTGCTGTAAAACTTTTTTAATTTTGGCTAAGAGCAGACCTTTTCAGGTTAAGCATTCTTAAGATAGAGGAAGTAAAACTTTAGCAAATGCCTTCAGTATCATCCTGGATTTGAGAGGATAAAATCTTTCTTGCTGCCTTGGTTGCATCCCTTAAATTATTTAACTGCTTTAAATTTCACTTTTTATATTGTACTTAGCTCCTTGAAATGCATAGAAGCAGACCACTGTTAGCACGACTGCTTTACAATAAGTGTTACACCTTACATGATTTCAGCATATTGTCCTGTTTGTGCTGCAGCTGTCTCTCAAACTGCTTTTTTTTTTTTTTAGTTTAATGGAAGCTGTCTATCAAGTAATGCCTCCATAATGCTTTCCCAGGTATTCCTCCCTTCCCATTATAATCTTTAAGAGCTTCTGGTAATTTTACTGGTGAAACATGGAACATAATGCCAAAACCAAGCATTTTTATTCTTTCCTAATCAGAGATGCTAACAAGATCTCACCCAAGGCATGCAGGCTTTGTCAGGAGTAACAGGAAAGGCACTGCTGAGCACTTGTTCTTTCCTCTGCCTTTGCACAGGTGGGCTTCATTCGAGGTGAATGCTTTCAGCTCTTGAGGGATTCTCTTGTACAGAGGTAGTATGATAAATAGAATGGAAAAGCTACAGGTTTGAAATCTAACTTGGTTATTGACTCGTAGGTGAAAGGCATTTCTATGGGTACAAATTGCAGCAGCTTTTAGAACCATTGATTACTTTGATTCATAATTAGATTTAGAGCACAGAGAGCCTCTAAGTTAAGAGCACAAGTTCAAGATCACAAGCTGACTCATGGACACTAAGCTCTTTTGTATTTTCTGAAAGCACGGTTTTGAAAGCATGTATTGTGTGAGAGTTATGTCCACTTGTAAAGAAAATGAACAGGTTTTTACTGTAGCCTCAGAGAGCCTTAGTGGCTAAGGCTGGTGAGAATTGGCCAGACTTATACCCACAATGCTGCAAGGCTTGTTGCTGGTCTTGCGACTTCATCTGCAGAGGACTTCATTACTTGTTCTCATCTATATTCTGGAGCAAGAAAAACAGGCAGTTTTTTCTTTTATAGTCACTGTAGTAGTTCTGCATCCCTCAAATTCACTGTCTAGCCACCAAAGAGAATAATTCTGTTTAATTTATCAATACACCTAGTAATTAATTGGAGTCATTCACTGTTGAATGAGCTGTATGTTTGCACTTCTCCATTTCCTTTTTTGTTTTGCAAGATTGCTACAACAGATGTTAGCACTATCACTTTTTTTGAGATTATTTAGAAGTGGCCAAGAGTGAACAGAGCTGTACTTCTTTTCTATTCAAATTCAGAAGTTGGCTTGTAGCCCTAACTGTTTCCTTTGGATATTGTCAGGGCTTTTATAAACTAAATAAGAGAATTGGAGCTTTAGTGTTTCCAGAGTTTGTTAACATTTTATTTTTATGGATTCAAATGCATTTCAAGCCAGAGTTGTAGTCTTACTTCTTGCAGGGGAAGGCTTGACAGAAAAGCAGATGAAGTTGCATTACTGGTTGCATTGCTGGTGTAAAATCAATGTATAGATAGCTACTTGCTGCAGCTAACATTGTTGGGAGGAAGCTCAAGTGGAAGCATTGAGTAAGTTAAAACACATTGCTAAGGTTCTTCCTGACAATTCTGCTGAGTTACGTAGGCACAGCATTGTTTGTAAGGATTCTAGCTCGTGCCTCCCATAATGTAATGTTTCCTAAGTTAATTTTTTTTTATTGAAATGTACTAACTTTATAAGATGAGGTGGGATATTTTGGTATTTAAGTTCCAGTGCTTCAGATTATAATAACCTGCTTTGTTTTACTGCAGCTTTAACAAAATCTATCTGCTGGGACTGAGCTGTCCAAACCTAATCTCGAGCAGATTTATTTTTTCAAACATTTAGCCAAAATAGGTCATTCACATCCAAGGTCTGATTAAAAAAGAAACCACCCAAAAAAGCCTTCAAAAACCCCCAAACGCTCAATGAACAACCACAAACCCCAAACCTAGACTCGACAGAATTGAGGAAAAGCTACCTAAAGCTATGAATGGATTTGGCCTTTAGTTCCTCCTTTGAAATCTGCTCATATTTAACAAAACAGTCCATCTGTGAAAAATCACAGTGCATTTATAGCTTAGTGGTGATGACTTCTGTGTTCAGCTGTTAAATTCCCCACAGCCTCTCTTGAGCATTGTGGAAGGTTTCTCCCCTAACCGCAGCTTCCAGCAGGAGCAGGATGCACTGGATCTGCTTCAGGGACAGGAGGGCAGTACTGCAGGGGGCTGCTCCCCCTGCAAAAGGGGCAGCAGGGCAAAAGTCTGGGGAGGGATGGAATGGGAGATGCTGTGCGAAATGGGAGGGGAAATGCTGCTCGAGTTCCAGTGTAACTGAAGCTGGGTGGGAGGTAGGGGTCGAACAGTGCTGGAAAAGGACTGGCTCGTGTTGGGAGGGAAAGGGCTGGGCAGTAAAGCCAAGGGGAAGAACTGAAGCAGTATAGAGATGAGGAACTGCCCTGTTGCAGGTGTGCATGTGCATCTTGGGGCACTTGGACAGTGCCTTGGAAAGCTGGACTCTGCCTGGTTCATTCCTGCTGGGATTCCAGGCAAGGAAATGATGCTGTTTCTCACACACTGGATATTTTCATTATTCTGAATACACAGCTTAACAGTGAGGTTTGAGAGCTGTACAAAGTATTCACAAATGCTGCTGAAGTCTCTCAGACCTGAGCCTTGCAAATAAAAGGATGTAACAATAAGAACAGAAGGAATCATTGACATCTTAAATTGATTGTCAGTAAACACATTGATAATGAACTATTCAGCAGCTAAATCAACAAGATCAAAGCCCACAGCATGTTCCATGAGTAGCCACTTATCTGTAAGGTCAGTATTAAATCACAGGAGCTGTAATTGCTCTATGATCATTTCAAGTTTGGCAAAATATAAAAGATTCATACTGCATAAAATTTACATGGAATAAAATTTGTCTGAGTGTCAAGATGGGGTGCTGGTTGGAGTAGATTCTTTTTGGAATTCATACTACTTATTTTCTTGCTTTAATTTTGCTTTCATTGATTCCAGGAATAAAAAATTCCATCCCTTTTGCACTGCCTTTGTGCAGGGTACAATTACTACTAGGCAGCCAATGAGGTCACTTGTGTGGGGGTAACTGAATTTGCATTAACTTTCATTTACCTATCATGAGTAAAAACAGTCCTGCAGGTGTTGTAACTGAACTTTGGTGCAGACTGGGAATTTGTTTTGTTCCCTATCAACTGCAGAATCCACACTGCTGCATCTCTGCAGCTGTTGCTATATGAACTGGCCCAATTAAAGCAGTGAATGTTTAGCTACAGGGTATATGGAAGTTAATTGGAAGTCTCTGAATGGTTTAAGAGCCTCATGCAAGGAGATGCTATTGATAGTTCACATGAGCAGGATGGCACTGCTTGGTGCCTGAATGTCACGAGTTAAAAGTCAGAGGGCAAAAGGTTGGTCTCTGTTAAAGGCAGTGGAAGTTTTGCCATTGGCTTCATCAAACAGAGGATTTCTCCCTTAATTCTGGAACTTTGTTTAGGAGGTGAATTGTGTTGTACTCTTAATTCTTGTGGCTTCACCAAGAGTCTGTATTCCAAAAGTTTTTAGATTTTTCATTTAGTCTGATGGTGTTTTGTGGGAAACTAAATTGAAAGTGTATTTAAGGGCCCCAGGGACCTGCTCTGGTGAACTGCATCGGGAGAGGCTGAACATCTGCTTGATGCCTGGACACAGCTTTAGCAGAACTCCCAATCATTCAAAAGAAATTGCAGAAAATCTGTTTGCTTTTAAATTTCAAACCTCATCACTCAAACTTTAAGTTTTAATGTCCTTACATACAAATTTTTTTAAAAAGTAAAAAAACTCAGTACAAAATATTTACCACTGAGGCAGAAAATATATAAAAGAGGAAGGGAAAGGAAATCAAGCAGTTTTGCAATTTTAGGGTGGTTTTACACAAAGGAAAATTCAAAACTGATTTCTGGAATATAACAAAAACGTGCATCATACTAACATGAAGATGTTTTAACAGTGATTGTGTTGTCTTAACAAACACCTGGTTCATCAGTTCTATTTCACATGTGAAATAAAATGGACTTTATAGTAAATAGATCTTTTTAATTTCAATGAACAATTTTTTACCATAAGGAAAATGTACAGAATTTGTGTGGAAATCCATGTACTATGTTTACTCAAATACAGAAAATACTTTGCTGCAAACTTTTAAATATAATAAAATGCATTTAATAGCAATCTTTTGTGGTATCATTATTATTTATGAACATAACATTTAAAATATGGAAATTCAGTTGTGGATCAAAATGACCATAAAAACAGTAACCCAAAGAACCTTATAAACATGTCAACTGCCATCATTTATCCTAGATGGCTCATACCAATGTAAAAAACATATAAAATGTAGAATAATTCTCAACATATGGTTTACTTTGTTGCATTGTTCCTACGTATTATTTGTGTTAAAATCCAGAAAATTATATTATGAAGAGAATATTGGGGTTTGTTTATTAAACTAAAGTACAGGTTAAAGTAGTTCTTTTCTTGTGATGAACATATACCAACAGTGATTAAAAAATAAACATTTATTTACAAAATATTGATGCATACATATTACACAAGTCAGTTATATCAAAGTGGTTTTTAAACAATATCTGTAGCAACCAACTATTTGCATTGGTTTACCATAGTGCAAACGGTAATGTTGCAAAGGCAGGTTAAAATGTGGGATTGCAATTTGAATGTTGGATTTCTCTGCTGCCTTCTGTTTTTCTATGTCTAGAAAACTATTCCTTTTCATTTACAAAATATCTATTTCTTGAGAATGTTGAATAGTGTACCTGAGGATAGGGCAAATTCATTATTAAGCCTAAATTCTTTCACTTATATAACTATCTTTCTATTTATTCAGCCTGCTTACGTAGCACCATTGCCATTGATTACTAACATACTAATGAGAAAAAGGAATGGAAACACGCTAAATACACTATGCCATCCCTAATTTCAGGGTTTGTCCATTTATGTGGAATTTCATCTGATACATTTCACAAGTCTGCACTATATATTCAAGTGTTTAAGGATGATTCTGGTGGTATTGTGTAGTGGTGTATATGTTACCAGTATATATGTTCCTGTAAATATGACATTAAATGAAGCTGTGAAGAAAGGAACCCAAAAGCCTGCTCCTTCTGTCCTCAGGTGAGAAGGAGCTTGCTTTTGATTACCAATGTGTACTGAAACCTGCATATAAATTTGCATCCAAACGACTGAATATTGATTCCCTCATAATGTAAGAACTTTGCGGATTAAATCCGGTGATTTTGATTGTAGCTTTTCTCTTTTGCTGGCTCACAAGCAGCCATCAGGTAATTACATTGTCCTTTAGTTCACGTTCTGTAACTGCTGCTGGTAGCACACAGGAGGTCGGCAATGCCTTGTGTACGTAACTTCACAGTTTGAGAGACTGGTGAGGGGGTATAACTTCTTCTATTTTTCTCCTTATTTTTTTTCTTTTTTTTTTCCTTTTTTTTGGTAGCTTCCACGATGTGTGAAGCGGTGGATCTGGCGAGGATCTCATGAGCACCCGCAGCGGTCTACAACCATGGCTGGTATCTTGCCGTAGATGATTTGTTCTTTGCCATTGAAGTACAGCATATTGATGGGGGACATCTTGGTGGGCGTGCAGCAAGGGCCTGCCGAGCCTCTGGGGTTGGCTTGGTGCACCAGGTGGGTGTGCGGGTACTTTTGTAAAAACACAAACTCGCATTCTCCGGAGCAGTAGTTGGCTTTGTATCTTTTGGGAGCGATAATCCAATCCCACCCGAAGGCTTCGAAATCCACCGTCAGCGGGTAGCGGCAACAGCGGGATTCTGTCGAGTGCTCGTCACAGTCGAGACCGAAATCTCTGCGGGACCGTTTTGGTGTGTCTGTAACTCTGACCTCTAAAAATGGGTTCTGTGAGAAGAGGAGAAGGAATTGGAATAATTTCTGAGGTAAGCCCAAGTTCACTAAAAACATGCAAACAATATTTCAGATGTAGATGTTTCAGCTTAATATTCTGAAATGAAGTTTCTGAAATCTCTGCATTTCCCTGCTGTTTCTCTATACAGAGCTTTAATACCTGAGTATTTGTCCCTGCAATCACCACTGTCTCAGTGCTGACATTCTTTAACTGCTATAAAGAATGCTGGATTTTTACTTTTGATGTGGATTTTTTTTGTTTGTTTGTTTTAAACTCCATAGTAAGAGCTTTTGTGAGTCCCTCTGAAATTCCCTTCATTAAAGTCATATTGAATGCCTTACTTTTGGTGTGGATTTTTTTTTTTGTTTGTTTTAAACTCCATAATAAGAGCTTTTGTGAATCCCTCTGAAATTCTCTTCATTAAAGTCATGTTGAATTCAGGCTTTCTGGATATCAAGCAAAGTTTTTTGTCCAGACCAAGGAGGACAAAAGTTGCTCCTCTATTTCTGCCATGCTTGAATGACTCTGACTGAATGAATTTGGAGGGGCAGCTAAGTATTTTAACTCCTGGAAGAGTCCTGTGGCTAGGAATGTGTTTTTGGCAGATCCCTGAGCCACATGCCTCCTACAGAAGGTGTATTTCCACAGTCACCAACTGAGACTAGAATGAAATTGCAACCTCTGTGACTGTGACTTTGAAAAAGTTCCCAAAGTTGCTGCCTTCCACACACTGTTTTCTGCCCTGTGTGTTAGTTTGGCACTGATGGGGCCATCCCATGGAGACCATTCCTCAGGAATAACAGCCCAGCTAACTTTATTACACAGGTTTTCCTCTCCCCAGATACCTGCGAGCTGTGGAGCTGCTGGAAGTGCTCATTCCAAAGGTAAATTATACGGGGAGGTGTTTGGTGAAAGGAACACCCCTGTACTGGAAGCTGCTGGAGAGGAGCTGGGGGACAGAGAGATTTCCTCTCTCATTATTGCCTGTGCCTCTAACCCTGTTCTGCCACTGAAATGTTTGTTTATACATGGTGATAGCCATGGGTTATCTGTATGTATCATCATTTGAATGGATGGAGGTGGTGAGGACATTCCTGATCGTGATATCCAGCTGGCCTGTTTCAAATACAGGAGATCCACATTTATATTGGATGGACAATTATGATATCACAGAGTTTTTCTTTTAAGCATTTCTAAATTATATTGTACTGCTGTGAAGTTAAATGTTGTATAAATGGTTGGGCACAATGGTCTTCTCCAACCTAAATATTTCTATGTTTCTATAATCAACAGATTCATCTACTACATGGAAGTAAAAGTAGAATAATATTCTTCATACTTTATGCAAAAAAGGTATCACTTGGTTGTGGTAAGTATAGGAATTTGTATGGGCTGTAGGTTATTAGTGATTTACAGAAACAAATAGCAAGGGAAATGCTGTAGTTTCACTTCAGGTTTATTTGAGGTGTACTTGTAGGTAGATTTCAGATTTAATTTGTTCATCTGTTGTTATAAAAACAAACCGGTTATTTTGTGCACTTTCTTATTATCATGACTCGAATATTGTATCAAGCAGAAGATCTCTATTCAGATGTTTCTAATAGGTAGAATGATGACTACCAAATACTGAAAGGTAAAGAACTTAACATTATGAAGATCTATTCTCACCTTCAGAAAGAGACAATTTTTATTGTTGTTAATAGAAAATATATGCATAGAGAGTATGTAGGAACTCCCTTGCCTTCACAGCAATATTGGAGGCATCTTTCCTAACCAGTGAAAGAATCTAAAGACTGTTCTTTATGTGAAATAGCTGCTTATTAAGTAGTATTTGCTCTCAAAACTGTAAACAATGTTACTTTGATAGCATCATCCATCAATAATTGCCAAAACCTTTTCTAACTAATGCCTCACAATGTCTCTCAGTTTCTGTCAATTTTTTAGACAGGGAAATGGAGGCAGAGGAAAGCTATTGATTTTTGGCATGGTCAGAGAGCAAAGAATGAAAGAATTGGATACACAGAACTTTTATCTTCCATTCCCTAAACAATGCATCCATTTTATCCTTAAAACAGAGCTTAAATGCTTTTCAATGAAATAGGATTTTTCTAAATAAACTTACCAATCCATCTTCCCCCGGTCCTGGGAAAGTTACAGCAAGATTCCGTCCGTTCTCATCAAAAGCTTTTATTTCGATGCCTAAATTGGATTCAGGCTGTTTGAGCCAATTTTGCAACACTGTCTTCACATCAATGCTCTGCCAAATACCGGTGCCTGGGTTCATGTCAAGTTTCAAAGATCGAATTCCAGTATATCTTGTACCATCTTTCATGGGCTTAATAAGTCTCAGGATCTGCACAAACACCGTTGTAGGTTTTTGGACTTGCCTCAAGTATATCCACAATTGTGCCTTTACTACTTTGTTATATTGTATTTTAGAGCTAAACTTAAAGAAGCAACATTTTGGTTTTCCCTCCATTTGTACAAGAAAATCAGCTATAAATGAATGGAAAGAACAGATTACTGAACAGGGAACAAGAAAAAAACGCGTATATAAACCTGACTATTTTTTTCAGACTGTATAAAAAAATATTACAATATGTTATAATGAGTACCAGTAACAAATTGGATTTAACTTAATTAATTTTCTATGGTTTACACTGTACAGAAAATTTAATTGATGTCAATAAAATTACTCTATCACCTACTACCAATTCACTTCTGCTGGTCACCTCCTGAGGACCTTCATAAAGCATGCAGAATAGCAACTTTGCATAAGCTGACTCAACACGTGTGTGGTGATCCAGCTATTTCTAATTTACTCCAAAGCCTCAGTCTGCTGCAGACCATACAGCCCTGGGCAAACTGCACAAACACATTTCTTTTCTCAGTGGGAAGAAAATAATTGAGGGGATTAATATAAGGATCATTTTGTTTTCATTTGAATAATATTAGAGGAAAGTCACGTGCAGTGCTGCGTTCCCCCTTCCTGTAGCCTACGATGCAGCTGTCATACCTAGTCATGGCAATATCTTTCCATGCCAGGATAAAATGGGTAGTACTAATCCTAAATGGTGCAGGACTTTAATGTTCATAAATCTCATCACTTAAGATACCTGTCTCTTTAGTGCATTTAAAATAGCTCAAGGGCTTTTTATAAGAAGTAGGAAGTGAACTCAGAGCAATGAAATACAATGACTTTTCTTCAGTCACTGTAAATATGAAGCAGTTTGATTAAAAATAATTATAAAGCCTTGAATATAAAAGTCTGGAATAAAAATCCAGGCAGCCCTCAGCTTTGTTATAAGGCTGCAGTAAAATAATCCTATTAAGTGCCCATCTTAATAATTACGAAGTTGAAAAATTTCACTGAAAATTTTCCTTTTTCATCTGTGGCTTCATTTTTAGATGTTGAGAGCAACAGATATTATTCTAGTCTGCATATCATAATGATATCTGTAACTGCTAACATGCCTTATATGTCCTGTCATATTTTTCCTTTTTGACATCATATTCATAAGTGTTATTTAAAAAAACAGCTGCCATAGTCAAATACTTTAGCTGATGAAGAACATAAGATACTACAGTATTAGCTGTGCAAAAGATACTTGATAGGAGGCATAGCAGATGTTTAGCACTTGGAAGATAACTCAGAATCTGCTCATTCAGTAAATGCCTTCATTCTTCCTTGGCACGATTACACGAGCTGATTGCTATAGCACGGACATTTCCACATTTAATCTGTTACACACATATTAATATATAGTTTTAACTCCGAGGTGGGTGGTGCTAGTTTATGGGATCAGCAAAGAGGCAAGAATTTAACTCTCTGCTTGCACTTGCTGTAGCATGTTGCAGTTAGGTAGATGTAGTGCTCTAAGCTGCATTTCTGTTGATTTCTATTGCTTCTAAAAATACTGGCCAGCGAAACCTCCCTCACAAAAATTTAGTTCTCTCGTTATCTGCACTTGTACTTTATATCTGCGAGAGGAAATGCCCCGAGTGCTGCAGATAACGAAGTTGACTGAACTGCAGATCTCCCTTTGCTTTCTAAGGCAATGGGCAAATCCTAAGTGCTACAGGGCACACACATTATAAGGAACTGAAAACCGAACAGTAAAACAAAGGATCGCCACACGGTCATCTGAACCTGGCTCAAATTCTTTAGAAATAACTCTCTGCTCCCTCCCTCCAGCAGACTTCAGCCAGCAGCCTGTTGGGAGAGCCTGAGGAGGAGTTGTGTGGCTCTACAGCAGGGAGACAACTCTCTCGGAGGGGCAGTGGGAGGCGAAAGAAGCAGGGTTACTTACACTCTGTAGGCATTGTGATAATCGTTTCGGTGGTGGCATGATAGTCATCATCTTCCAAAGAGCCATCGCTACTGTCATCTCTCTGCACATCATACTGATCAATCAGTTCCTGCAGTGGAGGAGCCTTGGGTAAAAGTTGTTTAATAACATCCCTGCTAATGTTAGGAGCTTGTTCCAGACGCAGTTTGCTGAGGATTTGAATTTTTATGGCTTCTATTCTGGAAGATTTTGTATTCTGTCTCCACGTACAAGCATTGCACAGTCCGTCCTTTTCAGCGTTCTCTGTGGGCTGACTACTGTCATCAAGAGCCACCGGATCAACTGAAATCAGCATGAACAGGTAAATAGAAGCATAGAGCACTAGCTTTTGCATGATCTCACATTCAGTGCAGCACTTTTGCCTTCTTTTTTTTCCCCCTCCCCCTTTCCCTTTCAGTACTAAACAGATCCGTGAAAGCAAATGCAATCTGAGAGACAGCTTGCCACACTGGTGTACCTTATATATTCCAAGGGGGCTTTTTATACTCCAACTTTGATTAGGCTCATGTCGTCAAACCCGACGATTGGTTGCTGTCCCAACAATGAATCTGGCTGTCAGAGGGTAAAGCCCTGTCGATCACAAGTCACTAGACAGCGTTTAGTTACAGCCAAGGGTGAGCTGATTTATCTGGGTACTTTGCAGAGGATATGCCTTCACATTCTGAAAGGATATATTTCCAAGTATTGTGGGCAGCAGTACTGAAAGACAGCACTGTCATTCTTAAATATTATACCAACTGTGAACTTGTTCTATGAATCAAGAGAAACCTTGCTCTAAACTTGCTTTAGGCTTCTACCAATCTTTCTGACTTGAAAGTTTGTTCTATTTAAAAGAAAATCCCGAGAAGTTACTTTTAGCAGGCAGGAAAATTATACTTTAGAAGTGGATTGCAACGAGTACTAATTTATGTTGATCAACAACTGATATATATATATATATATTTAGCAGTTCCTATTTCAGAAAACCTTACTGGTTTTCCTAGACACGAGCTAAAGCTGTATTGGAGGTTTTGTGCATATCTGACACTTATGCAAATGCCTGTTTTATTTGTTTACCCCTTTATCGTATATCAAAATCCACAGAACAAATCCTTTACTGAATTAGCAGTCAGTAATGAAAAATGAGTCTGTCCCCTCTTCATGCTGTCACCAGAATCTTGGGCAGTAAATTAAGTGTCTTTAGTAGCAAAGGTATTTTTAAGGAATATCTTTAGCTACTCACTCTAATATTACACAGGAATAGTTCTACTTGCTTTTTCCATTATTAGTGAAAGCATTAAAAACTTGAAATATTTAAATCTCTACTGTGTATTTATCTTCTTTTCCATGTAACCTTTTTATTTCTCTTCAAAATGTTTCTGTATTATTCCAGCTTAAGTGATATCTGTGCTTTATTACTTTCTACTTAAATACTTAGAAATTCTCTTATATCCTGCTTATGTGTTAAAAAAATACAGTTTTAATATGCTTTCTGCATAAGAGATATATCTCTGTGTGATTGCATAGGTTATGGCTTATAAAATCTTACATTTGATCTTAAAATCAAATGCAATAATTATGGAACCCTTAGTGAGGGGGGTGAGGGGGTTGCTGCTCAACACAGGCTGCACGTCACAGCAAACAGAAACCCTGGAATTGGTATGGATTGTATATATTTGAATATTTGCAATCTGTGTATTACAGCAAAGAGAAATCCTGGAATTTCATGCAGTATGCCAAAGTTTGCCTAAGTTAGGACTGAATTTTCAGTTTCTAACAGAGTTTCTTTTATTTTCCCATTCTGAGTACTCCTAAGAATATGTCAGACAAGGAGTTTTGCATGTGTTTGTATAGGAAAAATGTTTGTATAAGTAAAGATGTGGACAGAACTCTCAAAAAAATATTTTTTTTTCTCCCTGGTCATTCATATTTTGTATCACCTCTCCAGGGCATGCAAATTCACTGAGCCTGATATTCAGCTCATAACCAGTGACATAAATCACACGTATTCAATTGAAATTGGTCATCCTGCCCTGATGTGAAGTTGATGCAAGTGATAGATGTATCATGCTCACACATTCCAGGCATATAGCTTTAGGGTCAGACCCTGATATTCTGATTTTAGCCAAAACCCATGTTTAAAGCAAGCAGTTTGCTGCCTTAGCTCCTGAGCATTTGATTTTTACACAGAGACAATGCCGCTACTTTCAGCATGTGGTAACACAAATGGGCCATGGTTCACTGGAACAAGAAACTGCCTACCATGCCCATAACATATTTAAAACAGACTCTTAGTAAATTTCAAATGATAGAAATGTGTTTTTATGGAACATGCGCAGGATGATTCACAGTAAGAATCTTTCTGAAAAGCACTGAGCTGTTAGTGCATTTTTGGGAGATTTAAGTTGGGGGTTGTTTACTATTTCTATAGTTAATGTAATAATAAAATTATTTTAAATTATTTCTTTATTTTAAACTAAACTTAACCTATAAGCCTATAGAAGGGAATCTACCCCAAGTGGAAAGTTCGACAGGTACCAGGTTTCACACCAGAAAGAGTTTAAGATGATGATGGAAATAATGATGCACTCATTGATATGACAGTAATTCAGTGTTCTGGCAGACCATGGCTAAAAGCCCCTCAGGAGGCAGAGGGACAGGAGAGGTGCTCATCTAGGCAGTGCCTCAGCACCATGATCCTGTTGGGCTGTGCTCTGCAGCCACACTGGGACCTTCCTGCTCCTTCTCCTACCAGTCCTCCTGCTCTGGCCAGCCAGAATGAACATGCAGAGCTTCCAGGTTCTTGTCTTCTGCAGCGAGTCCATTAATCTGCAAGCAGGAGAGCCTTTGCTCCTTTCTGTGCAGCATTTAGTTATGGCTGCAAGCCCAAAACCCCAGGGAGCTCAGAGCAAGGGCTCAGCTTGCTCTCAGGTGACACGTGGTGGCAAACAGACCCTGCTGAGCACCGCTGTTTAGGAGGCAGCAATAGCAGCTGGAGTGGTGGCACAGGGCTGGGGGTGACAAAAGCACCCCAGAATTCACCAGCAGCTGCATAACAGAGAGCAATATTTCCATTTCCCTCATAAAATGCATTTCAGCGGTACTGTGAGTAACTCTAGGCTGTTAGTAGAATATTATTCATCTTTTCTGGCTGCTGGATTATTCTTTTTTTCTCTGAAATTGTGAGAATTTAGGAAAGGGCGCAAAGAGTTGCACTTGATCAGGAGCTATTGAAGGATCTAATTTATTTGATAATACTAATAGAATATGTGATTTATTTTTCTGTCTGACTGACATTGTAGTGTTTTTGGAAAAACTCTGATGACTACAAGTGATGAAAAGTGATGACTACAGAAGTAGGTGATAGAATAGAAAAAAATAAGTGATGAAGAGAGCAGGTAAAAGTTGTTATAAAATTTATTAGTAAAAAAAATATTTTAAAAAAACCTCAACAACAACAAAAATCTAACACATTATCACTAGCAAAACTAAAGAAGAGTTAAAAATGAAATGCACATCTTACTGAACTTTATGGCATTTTAATATTATCTTTGGGATTTGTGTCATTCTACCCGTTGTGCCTGCCAATAGTGAATAGTATTCCCAATCCTGACTATGCGAAGATCATGGCTCAGGCCCCCAAAATCGAGCACTGCAAGAATGTTCCTTTGAAAAGGAAAAAGGCATACATCTGTCTACCTGGCAACTTCTCCTCTACTTTCCCCCTTCCACCACGAGCTTTTGGAAAACCTTAAAAAAAAGTTGAAATTAAAAAAAAAGTTGAAAAAAAGGGAAAAGAAACCAAACCCACCCCTAAAAATTTGATAAAGAGGTTTCAAAGACATGCTGTAACTGCAAGTTATGTGGAAAAACAGTGACTGTGCAGAGGAAAAGGAGATTACTAATGCCCTCCCTGAGGAGAAGGCAAGCAGAGCCCAAGCATTACCCATCCTTTTTGGCAGGCTCTGGTTAGGCAGAGAGCTCGTGCTCCCTCAGCACGCCGCTCGCCCTGCAGCATCCGCAGCCTGTCACCCCTGCCCGGCCAGCAGCGCCCGGGGACGGCCAGCTGACAGCTCTGCTTGTTTTGGGGCAGGACCAAACGGACATGGAAGGCAACCAGGACATTTCTGAGAAAAGGGAGAGTTACAGGAGTATGAAGGAGCTGCTTTCCTGGCAGGGGAGGGAAAGGGACATGGGTTATAACCCTGCCCTGGGTTTTAACTGGACGACTTCATCCTGCTGCAGGCTACATTTTCAAACACTTCCTTACAGCCTGTGGGACCAGAAATTCACTTTTCTTTATTCTGTTGTTTAAGTTAAATGAAATAGTTCTCATAATTGATTCACCTCAGAAGGCAAACTGGAAGAAACAAAGCAGGTGTTGCAAACTGCACTGTAAATCTGTGATTGCTATTTACATTGATGTCAAGTCCTACCTCTGAACCAGTTGGCTTCTCTCCCTGATTTGCTTATAAGGAAGAGATAACATTCCTTCTGAGCTGCTGAGGAAGGTACTAATTGAGTAAGCTTTTCTCTCACTTTTGTCAGCACAAAGCCTAAATTCAAGAATAGCAAAATGAAATAGATAGAAAACTCCATTTTAAATCTTTTTGGATTCATCTCTCTCTTTGCTGCTATAAGTTGGAAATAATTTTTGTGCAGTTATTTTGTTGGAACAGTTAAATTTGAGTAGAAAAATTCAGACATATCATAAAATGTATTGGAGTTAGGGTGTTTCAAGTGCTTAACTATGAGTCCAGCTCACCAGGTGCTTTCTCTCCAAATCACAAGATAAATGCATTACTTTGAACCACAACACAAATATAAGACCATGCCTATAAAACACATAGAAAGAGCTCTTGCAATAACAAAATGCCTTATGGAAACATCATGCCAATTACATTATGTAAATGCATCTACTGTAAGGCAAACACAGCCACTTTTAAACTTATTACCATGAACTAAAATATGAAAGCTGTAACTCATGTGAGTTCTTGCTCTGGAACAAATGGCCTGACAGAGTTTGTCCTTTGCTATACTTTTTTTTTTTTCCCTAAAAAAGTAAAAAAGTCATATATAACCTTCTAAACATTCTGCTACTGGAAGTCAACTTCATAGATGTTGATGGTATGACTATTTAACTCCCTCAGCTTACCAAGAAAGAAATCCACCTTGGTTTTACCAGTTTTGAGTTCTAGATATCCTATTTCGCACAGGGGAAGAGTGGGTGTCTCTTAGGGTATGGATACCGAAGACATTCAGCTATTTGGGATTTTGAGTGGTCTCCACTGAGGTGTACCTGGGGTCTGTGGTTTGAGTACAAGATGATTCCCTCCACTCAAGAGCTGTGGATGTTGCACTAGTGAGTCCTGCCTGCGAAGGAGTGTCTCACAAGCCATGGTATGCAATTGTGCAATGGATAAAATGGGGGAAACAGGTAAAACTGGTGGCCAAGGGCTGCCGTGGCCATTTCAGCCCACGATGCTCCTGTCAGCTTGCCCAAGAGATGTTGCTGAGCATAGGCTTTGGGGAAGTTGTTACCTTCAGCTTCTGGTCATCTCCCTCCTCCCTGCTGCTTTTGTGCTGCCCTGCATAATTGTGCCTGTGGAATTAGGCCAAAATACCCTGTTGCCTTTTCCTCTCCTGCATGTTAGAGTACACTTTGCTCCAGAACCAACCTGATACAATAGTTAAAATGAATCCTAGAAACAGATAGAGAAGTTCATTAAAAGCTTTTAAGGAAGAATGCAGTTATAGTGAAAGCTTCCCCTTTTTCTGGTTCTTTTGTATTCAGGATTTTGTGCTTCCTTTACTATGGTGTCTATATATCTTTTATCTTGTAAAAGAGCCCCATTAAATATCTACTTAATTCTAAGGATTCTGCCCTTCTTAAAGGATGCTGTCTTTGCTTTCTTTTCTTTACAGTTGTAGGTTTTCTGCTTTTACCCAAAATTCCTGACATTCATCCTGACTTTCATCTTCAATGTCTTTTAAAATAGCTGTGTCAGCTGCTGCATCACTGATGGGAAACCTTGGATTCCTCTCAAGAGTTGTTACCGTGCTTGGAGAGGCTTCACTTGTGAATTTGCACAATCAAAGTGCTTGAAACGCCACAATACTTTGCCTCAGCATCACTAGCTACAAGAATGCTTGTATTTTCTCCGAGGCACAGCTCTTCGGAGGGGATTTTCACCCCAGGAGGTCAGTGATTTTGTGTGAGTGGCCTGTCCTCTGCTGGGTTCTTCTGGAACAGCAGCTGCTGGGAGGCAGGGCCGCTGCTCTGAAAAGTCTTTTTGCTTTTCCTGTTGTTTTGTTTTGTTTAATACATAAGGGTTTAAAACTCTCTGGTGTTCCCATCTTGGCTCCAATCACCTCACAGTCCCCTGGCTCATCTCTGTAGACTTCAGGTGTGCTCCAGCACAGCCAGTGTGTCCTGTAGCCACCAGCTCAGGGCTCTCACTTGCATCCCAACCCCCTAACCCTGGCATGTCATCCCACAACTTGTCATGGCCAATCCTGATGTTATCCCCTTCAAGTGTAGTTCAGAGCTCTGTCAATCAGCCCTGCTGGCTCATAAGCAAACACCTTTGAGGAAGGTAAATTCCATCAATAGGATGATGGCAAAATTAAGCTTCTTTGCTTTCTGCCACGTGCTGGTCTATGGTGAGCTTTAGACAGATTAATTTGAGAGAAATTTTACTAGGATTGAATGAAAAGTGGTGGTAACATTCTCCAGGAAATCAAGGAACATTCATATCTGCAGTCATCCAAGAAGGCCTTTGAATCTGTCATACTCATCAGCAAAGGTCAAATTAACAACTTAGAGCTGGGCTACCTGATTCAACCCTGGCATTAAAAATGCTGGTAATGTAAACTTTTGATAACCCTATAGAAAAAATTAATCAGCTATTTTCTTATGATGAAATATAACATATTACAAGCATATAACCCTACAAAGTAATTTAATGTCATAAGTGTATCATGGGAAAAAGCAGGCACAAAAGGCTGTGGCTTCTGAGGAAGGTGCTTCTTTTAAAGTAAGACCCCAAAGAATCAGGTATTTTTGGAAACCCCTGTAGAAAATAATGCAGAGACAGGAAATCACATAAGCTGCTCTAGGGTTTTTGAAGACAAAGAGCAGATCAGAGACTGCATAAAATTTCTTGATGTATTTTGATTCTCATTTGGAGGAAAAGAACATGAATGCTGAGTTTTTAAAATAAATTAGGTACCTTTGAATGATTTTCACATAACTAGTACAACTGCTTAAAGGTATTGGGGCATCCAAGAACAAACTCAGCTTTTACTCCCCCTGCTTTATTTATATCTTTCCTTATTCATTGTTCACTCCCTGCTGATGCAGTAAAGATGTCTCCTATTTATGAACTCCATTATGAAGCATCACATAAGAGTATCAACTGAAGGAAAGCTGCCTATACTGCCTAAAGCTTTAGCTTTACTGCTCTTTTCTCTTGGGAATTGCTTCTGGCTGCTCAAGCAGACACTTCCAATTCCTAACAATTTTAAAGGCTGATGCTTTAAAAATTTACAGGTTTGCTTTTGGTTTTTGTTTTTTATCCTTGGGATTTCAAGTTTTTCTCTCCCACTAGCCTGCTAGTTGGCAGCATTAGCTAACAGGTTGATAGGAAGCAAGGATAAACCACAAGGGAATTGCCAGTTTGGGGATTTCTTACCTTCAGTAACAGACTTTCAAACCCCCTCTACCATTCTGCAGAGACATAAAACTGCTTAAGAATTAACTCTTCACAGCAAATATTGCTTTATCTATGGCTATATGCCCTACACTCATGGAAATAATGTAAAGATTTTATACTCTGTGTTGACTATGGAAATGATCGAAAGGATGCTTAAAAATTGGAATTCACACAGGAAATCTGAAATTGTTGCAGTAGCTGTTGCTTCAAAGTTTAGTTTTAAGATGTCCCAGCATAATGAAGGCTGGAGAATGGCTTTCAGTGAGTAGATCTGGAAGAGTTAATGGAGAAAAATATTCCATGGATACTCAGACTAATGGATACAGAGTTATTTGCTTGCTACTGACTTTGTGATAACTACACAAAGCTTTTTTATGTCGAGTGAACTTTGTACCAGGGTTTTTCCAGTAAATAAATCTGAGGAACTTCACAGCTGCTTCTGTGTGTTTGAGAAGAAAAAAGACTTGCTGCATACAAAGCTGAGGTTATGATCAATTAAAAATATAATCACTTGAACAAACTTAAAGCTTTCCAGAGCATACTAATAAACGAGATTGATGGTACAATTAGAAATGCAATGCAAAATGGAAATAAAATTGACTACATCAAATTACTTTATTATACTTCCTTCAATTTACTGAAGTAGCTCAACATTAAGAAATGGAAGCATTTTGTCATTTTGTCCAAAGCCTCTAGAACAAAGGAAAATTAATGAATAACTATTGAATTGTGCAGTTGCCTGCTTTGCTAATTTTAAGCCTTAATTGATGTATCTAATGATTATATGAGTAACTCCAAGAAAGCAGTGTGGTAAATTTTAACATCCCAGTAATAACTTGGTAGAGAGAAATTGCTTCATTAGATCCTAAATTGTGTTAAAAGTTACTATGTTGGTATACCTGCAGTTATAGGTTTGAGTACATGTATTCCACATAGATATGTTTAATTAAGCATTAGACAATCAGTTTCTGCTCAAAAGCTTTCTCATTGCAGTGGCTGATTTGAGAAATGAGATTTCCTTTCTATATAGCCCTTTCTTCACATCAGTCAATGGCATCATAATGGCACAAAATACTTTCCACAGCTGTGCTACCTGACAAATTCTGTATGTTTCACAAAATAATGTGAAGGAATTACTTATTTCATTATGGATCTGGAACAGTATGAAATGTTTATTTACAGTTCATATAGGAATAATATGCTGTACTTAGAAATGCTAATTATTTAGTGATAGGAACATCTTGCACTTTGGGCTAACATTTAAAGTCACTAATATTTATATAAAGTAATAGTTTTTAATAATAACTCAGATTAACCGGTTTTGGGGTTGTTTTAATTTCAACATTGCTGTATAGGGCTACATTTCATGTTCTTTCAGGCATTTAGAACTAACAAAATGTAACAAGAAGAGGAAAGCTGGTAAGCAATCTTGTAGCCTCTTCTGGGAGTAATTTTGCAACAAGCATATGACAAGGGAAAGGATGTTAGTTTTGCTTTATGATGTGCTGTGTTTCAAGAAGCTCTTTGAATGCCCCCAAGCTGTGTTAGCCCAGAGTGAAACAGAACAGTGCAGCAAGTACAAGCTCAGAGGATAATACCAGCAAATATCATAGCACAGAATTTGATTTTTATTTTCTAGAGAAAATCTAATTGAAAAATGTTTTCCAATATAATGGTGTAATTTGGGGTTTGCAGGCACTGAGAAAGTTACATCTGTCAGTAATTTCTCCATACATCAAGGTGTGAGGTGTATTCTTTTTAGTTAGCTTTTAAAGAATTAGAGCCCCAGAATGCTCTGAGTGTTTGCAGCATTTGGAAAGGGTTTTAATTCCTGAAAACAGCCATCTTCCTGAGCTGGAGCTCACTGGGGTTGAGCTGCTCTTTGGGAACTGGCATTAATATGCAGTTCCTACAACACACCCGTCATGCTTTATGCACCACTTCCCTCTCAAATGAGAGTGTTTGCCATCTGCAGTGTATAAATCATAGTCAACCTTTCCCATATCCTCCTTCCTTGGGAAAATACCAGGCACTGGGACCAGGGCATGGCTGGCTGGATGCTTGTGCTGAAAGGAAGGGCAATCAGGGAGCCCACACCCTTACCAGAAACACACCAAAGGATCACCTCACACAAGAAGGGTTGTGGTGGCCTGGCCAAGCCTTTCCTCTTTCTGTGAAAATCAGCCAATGGTGCAGGGGGGTGTTCCACCTCAGTTTTCTCAAAGCACTGTCCCCATGGAGTTTCTCTTTCGGTATAAAAGCAGACAGCACAAGAACACACAACACAAGTATTCCCAATCCTAGAAATTTGTGGAGGTTCAGGGAAGACCAACATGCCTTCTGCAGCTGCCTGGGTTGTGAAGTAACAGCTACGGAGCATGGGAATGGCTCCTCTTCTCCAAGCTGCAGGCTGTGGTAATGCTAAACAAATATTTTTCCATCTTCCAGCAGTGAATGGAGCTTGGAGTGTATTATTTGGGGGAAGTCAGATTTCATCTGAGGATAAGTACATTTTCCAGCTTTGAGTGAGGAGAGACACCTTCTTCACGTTGTTTATTCCTGAGAAGTGCCAAGAAGGGAAGCAAAGGCAAGGGCAAAAATGAGGACCTGGAACCAGCTTGCCCAAATACCCTGGCACTGGCTCAGCTCAGCTGGTGATGAAGGTTGATCTGAGACAAGGCTAAAGAACTTAAATAATTTTTATCTTACCTACACTGGTTCATTTTCCCCCCACAGCACTGGAGAAATATCCATCATAGTTTGCATCCAGGTTCTCCATTCACAAATTTCTGTGGCAGGTGCAGTAGCCATCATAAAATAGAGTGGGTTTTGTTTGGGATTTTCCTGGAAAATCTCTTTTGGCATTCTACAAATGATAGAGTAAGAGCAGATGTTTAAATAGAGAACCACAATAAAATACAAATCTTCTTAATGAGTTGTAACCAGCCAAAAGCTAATGGGGTTGGGGCAGTAATGGGGTTGTGAGTGTCTGAGGAGTCTCAGGCCTGCAGAGCAGGCTTTGCATCCATATGATAAAATCCTTGGGAGCCAGGAATTCAGGTTGCTTTCATTCCCCTTCAGACAAGCCTGGTAAGGTTTCTCTGCTTTTGTAATGATGCAATGCAAATATCTTTTCGATATCCCATTGCTGACTCCCATGGTTGTATTCTTGGACCTAATTCAGCCATTTAGGGTCCTAAGCATTAACATTCAGTTGATTTCTATTTCTGTGCTTACAAATTGCTAATTCCTTGAAATGTGTAGGCTTCTTTTTCATCAGATTCAAGGGGCTTTATCCAGAGGTGTGAAGGGAAATGTGGCTACAGGGAATGCAAACTTTTGTACTTGAGCTTCTGTTCCCTCATTTATCTTTCCATTCTCTCTTCTGGTTTTCACCAGTGTCTTTTGCTTTCTAGGGAAACTGTCTTTAAGCTGCAAGTTCTATGAAATACGTGCTTTTCTGTTTTCTGTTGTTTAATTAACACCTCACCAATTTTGGCTGAGGCTGTGAAATCAGAGATAACCTGTTCTTGTTTGAATATAACCAGGTCCTTTGCTAAATTACCAAAACCATGGGTGCTAGGAAACTGCATAATCCTCAAGGAATCTCAGCAAGCCTGAAAAAGAATCTGCCACCTCACACCTTGAGCTCTGCTAAAGGCTGGCTTAGTGGCAAAGCATGGGATCAAAAATCCTTTCCAAGCTTTGAGGTGTACACTGCAGTAAATCTGGGTGCTCTAAATCCATTATAATGGTGGCATCTCCTGGGAGCTCATTATGTATTAGGTATTGTCTTTTAAACCCCTATGGAGTTTATTTTCTTTCTGTTCCATTATATGGTCTATTGTACCCTTTTAAAAAAATTATTTATTTTTATGAGAAATCAGTGATTTCTTATCTTCCTTCTCTGTTCCATGCATAACTTTAGATAATTTATTTTGTTCTTTTTTTTTTTTTCTATAGTAAACAGCTCTGCTTTTTAGGTATTGGTGCTTCAGCTCTGTATCATTTTTGTCTCCCTTCTCTAGGGTTACACTGCAAGGAGTTTCTTTCTCTGAAGATGGTGTAATCAATAATATTCTACAAATGTCTACAGTATTTCTGGCAAGGTAACATAGAATAGACAGATGTAGATAAAAAAGCTGACCTATATTTACTCATTCTACACACCAGTATTTGGAAGTTACAAAAAAAAGCACCTGCATGTTGAAGAGAAGTTTTTAATTAAGCTATCCACAGTGGCATAATTAAATAATTATTTAAATAATAAAGAATAATAAACATGGAACCCTGTAAGCTTTGCAGGTAATTCAGTTGTTCCTCTGGCTGACTGAGTACTCCCAGCTGAACAGTTTGCTCCACAGGTTTGTCTGGCTGGAAGGCAGAATGACAGCATTTTTGTCAAAGTGCTCCCCATTTAGCTATGGCCAAACCTCATGAGAACTGTGTCTCTTAAAAAGCACTAAACTATTCCACTTTGGATAGTTCTGGCTACTTCTATAATATGGAAATGTCTTGAATGTAAAACCAGATTTGCATAGGTTAAATTTGTGCAAACAATGTATTATTAAGTTTTTTTTAAGTCATGTAATAGTTTTAAATACTGCACTTGAGTTTACTGGGGTGATAATTAGAATACTAAATATTTCTGTCAGTGACATCCCTTAAATATAATTTAACAGCGGATAGGAGCCCAAAATTTTTCAAATATAAGATTCTATTTCTTCTAGAATATCTGAAATGTACTCTTCTTCATGGGGTAAAAGTAAAATGTAGCATTATTTTTACTACTACCCAGTGGTGTATCATGCAGCCAGTGTACACACCACCACCTGTGATTTTGCCTGCTGCATGCTCAGTGTTCAGGAAATAAGCTAGAATAAATTTATTTTCCATCTGCTGTATGTTTGAGTGTGGGAGCAGCGTGACTATATTTAAAGAAAATTCATGAGGAAAAAGAAATGTTTCAGAGCTTAAATAAACAGACTTTGTTCACTTGGCTGATGCTCAGTGATGACTTTTGGAATTGGCTGAGAACCTTCCAAAATGGCTTTTCGTGGCTGTAGGACTGAGCTTGGGGGTTTTGATTGTGGGGAGGAGGGTGGCATATGGATACTATTGCAGTGCAATGGCATCATCATCATCCCCATCTCTAACACCATCAAAGTCACTGCAGGGGGGAGCACAAAACCTTGCTTGTAGTTTTCTGCTAGGGAGAACTGAGAAGCTGTATCAATATCTAAAAGGATGCAGACAGCTTTTCACTAAATTCTTTATTCATGCCTAAAATAGAGACAGAGTCCAAGACAGAGCTATCATAACATGAAGTGGCTTTCTTCTTTCTAAAGATGAAATAACAGTAAATTTGAAGCATGGTAAAGGTACAAGTAAGTCACAGTGCTGGTTGAAGAGATCAAATCTTGTGTGCAGTTCTGTTCTTTAAGAAGCACATACACAAAGCCATGAGTAAATACCAATAAAACCTGGCAAAATATCACAGAAATATTCCAAAGGCAATGTTATCAAAATCCTTTGAAACTTAATTAAAAGATCATATGGACTTGCAAAAGCTGTGTGGATGAGCCCCAAGAGAAGTCAACTCTAGACTTTAGTTTCCAGTGTCCTTTGCCCTTTTGCATCAAGCAGGAGCTTCTTCCAAAAATAATTTCCTGAATGCAAATGACCTGTTATAGCACTTATTACTTGGGGTATAATGTTCGAAGCAGGAGTGACCCTTAAATTAGTTGAGGAACACATATGAAACTTGCAACTTCTAATAATAGTGAGGCAAGTCTTCCATATGTTGTTATAAATTTCAGTCCAAGATGATTAACGTGGCTCACAGGCTACTCTTGTAAGATGATAGAAGAGATATTTTTGCTGCCTCTCCTGAGAGGGCTAGTGTTTCAAATTATTTCCAAACAAGCTTCTTCCAAGTGAGAGATGGTTCTCATTTTTTTGTCACCTTAATAAAAAGGTGATGAACACTCTCTTCTTAACTGTGCCCTTATATGAACATCAAACAAATATTATGACAGTGTGATGTGATAACAGCATGTATCCATGAAATAATGCTATATTCATAAATACAAGTCATTAATTTATTGTGCCTGTCGTTATGTTTGGAATAGAGTGCTTGTATTGTAAGCCTGCAGGGAATCTCAGAAGTGAATTGAACAGCTACATCTTTATTCAAAGTTATTTTTACTTATAGCAGGTCTCTATCTAGTATATTTTACATCAATTCTGTCCAAAGACTTCAAGACAAAAAATTTTATGAACTCCTTTATTAATTAAAGCCAAGGCAATAATAAATAGGGGAGGAAATTGTTCACAGCCATAAACAAGATGGAGTGGCCTAGGATTTTTTTTTTTTTTGGTGTAGAAAAAGGTGACTGATGTTTTGGGTTTTTTTTTTTTTTTTTTGGTATAGAAAAAGGTGACTGATTAAGCTCAAAGGATCGTATTTGGTTATTTATTTATTTATTTGTGGATTAGTTCTTTATTTATTTACTGGTACTATGTGATGCTATTCCTAGATGAGACACATAAAAACTCTAAATGTTCTTGTTTGGCTGAAACTATTCATCCTGATTCATCCTCTCTGATTCAGAAGAAGTGAGGCTTGAAATGCCTGTCTGTGGATTCTGTTGACGCTGGCTGAAAAGAATTTGTCAGACTGTGTGTGTTTGGGAGCTCTTAGCTGTGCCACTGAACAACTCCTTTAGTTCACTAAATGCAGGCTTGTTTTGAAGCTAAGTGACACAAGTTTTGCTGTGGAAACTGCATCCAATTGTTGGCCTCTCATCACAAAGCCTGTATTTGAGTAAAGTTTTCCAGCTAGTAAGAGGTCATGCCACATACAAGCAGGATCTTGAACTTCGAACTGTGTGAGATGAACAATCTTTAATTCAGACATCAACAAGCAGGCTTCTGACATGAGGGAAAGGGGAAGAAGGGACAGCCAGAAAGAGAGTGAGAAGTTATTCAAGTTAGTATTAAGTTATAGGGTTGTTGGCAGATCACCTGGGATCAAATGGCCTTCCTGGGTTTTTTGTAGCCCATTTGTCTCTCAGAGATTATATTACTTTCCTATATTAACTACTTTATTAAAACATAACTATATAATCATACTGAAAACCCCTGCAAGGCATGTTCAATTTTAGGAACTACTGGATTATAGATTATTAGGGTACAAAACTCCATGGGTGTGTATGTACACGTCTGAGTCGTTAAAACTCAGATCCACATCCCAAAGCAATGTGATACAGGATGTCTGCACCTTAAAACAGCCAGAGGCTGATCCAAAGAGGTTTAATTCTCACGTAATACTCATGACATTTATCTCAGGTACACTTCTGCTTGGATAACAAAACCAAGCATCAATTCATACTGCCTGAGGTATGCTCTTCTGTAAGCTGGAAAATGGATGGAGATTGGAGCTCCTGCCATTAATGGATAAATTTTGTAGCCTTGGTGGTTTTTGGCAGGCTTCTATAAGCAAGATTTTGCCTTGGATCCAAGTTTGCTTCCAGCCTAAACCCTATTTGCCTTTGCCTAACCCAGTGCTTAGGCATCACTTCTCAGGGGATATTGGCAGTGTACTTGTGGATGTTTATTTTTGCTGTAGGTCTGATCTGCCCCTAGCTCCAGCCCTGGTTTAGCTCAGCAGCCTCTGCCAGTCCCAGACCTATAGGTGCACCCACCATCTGTCAAATGTTATTCCATTCCAAAGGTTATTCCACAAACCCTTTTTTATTTAATATTTAAATCAATATTAATTTAATATTCAAATCATAATTTGAATATTTTAATATTCAAATCACGCTTTCTTAATTTTTAGATCTTTTTAGCAGTAGAAGACCTTAAGCTTCAATGGCTTGTTTAGAATGATGCATATTAACAGATCAAATACTTTGAGTCTTTTTAGTCATAAAAACTTTTTTTACATGCACTCAAGATTGGCTTTTCTTCAAAGCCCTGCCTTAATGAAGTGAATGTGTAGCAATCTTATGCTATCTAACTCCATATTCCAACTGAAATATTCTTTCCACTGCTATATTTAGGTAGGAATGGGTATCATAAAATTAATTAGAAACTGGGGAAAATGAGACTTGAAGCAGAACTCTAGTCCAAAAGGGCTTCTGAAATGTGAGCTCATGCTCTGTTGAATCTCTGAGCATTGAGTAACTGTTACACAGACCATCCACAATTAACATTATTTCAGCAGAGTTGTTCTGCTTGTTTGTGTTGTCCTCAAGACAGCTGTGTCCTCCCAAGTAAATGACTTTTTCCCTGTTAAAAGTTTTTTTCTCCTCTTGAAATCAAATTGCAAAGTTATGTGTATAGACATCTACCTATGGCATGAAATTTGTTTTTTTTTTTTTCTTTGCCATTATATAGTTATAGGTAATATTTCTATAGGATATGTCCTCCAAAAACTATTGTATATTTCTATTGAGCTATATAGTGTCATAAATTTCCCTGTGTGCAAGAGTTCTGATTTGAAGATGATGCAGCTGAAAAACCTCATGATAGAGTAGAAAGGACATTTAATATTGGATGGTATATCAGATAAAATAATAACATCATTTGGGTATTGAATAATGTCTAGAGCTATCAAAATACTTATTATGTGAAGTAATCATGATGACATTGTTGGTAAATTATACACTTCTGAAAATTAATTTCAAATTTATCATCTCATTTCAGTGACAGTTGAAGTAATTTTGTGACTTTGTAAAGAAATTTATTTGCCATTTGTGCTGCAAAAGGTGATGGTGTATGAGAAAAAGTACAGAGGGCTTGATCTTAGCCAGCAAGGCAATTTAGGAAAATGGAAGTTTGCAGCAGCAGCAATAGCTCAGATTCAGTCACCCATAAATCTCCCCAAGGGATGCAATTCCTCAGCATCTGTATCCTTCAGTCTTTGCTTTAATGTATTCTCTGAGGGAGTCACTACTCCAGCTTCTTTCTAAGGCAACTTCTGGCTCATTTCTTCTGGCTCATTTGAAAATCCATTTGCCCTGTGCTCAAAGGGAGCCAGTTTTATTGCCCACCTCCTGGGCACACTGACCAGTTCTGCATGGCAGAAGAGTCTCTGGTGCTCTCTCCAGGGGCTGCCTGTGATAGCCCT